AGGGACATTTATGATCAATATGGAGAAGAAGGTAGGTTAATGGGCATGTTTCTCTATCGCAATGGATTGCGTTTTCACCTTTTGTCGGTTCTTATTTCTTCTTCACTAATCCGTTATAAACACGCTGTACAGCTGGAATGTAAAACAGCTGGATTTAATTCAAGTCCCACTGTACCAGCACACCAGCAGGCCCAGAAAACATCTGTTCATTCGATGACGAGTCGACAGTTTTGTGTAATTTATGAGCTATAGGAATTACCATAATCTCTGATAGCCTTTATGCAGTTATAAGCTTCTGTTGTGTAGATTTTTTTAATGTGGGTGTTTTAGTAGAGAAAACGTATTTTAATTATGTCAAACATTTCTGTGCAAAATGTGTTTCCTACAATGTAATATAAAGGTTTAATTTTCAGTGCAGATGGTTATGGGTGGGAAGCATGTTTGATGTGAGAAAGCCAAGAAAAGACCACAGACCATCACTACATCCATCCACAAGGTGGCATATTATGATTTTTGCACATTTCTCAGGTTTTACCTTTGCATATAAACGTACTGTACATGAGGAGCAAAGGTCAGTGCAAGTGGAAAAATGTGTCTTGTAAGAGTAAAAAATGAAAAGGTATGGAAGAAGAAGCCCAGGGTGGTCAGATGAACCTGGGTTAGTGCCTCCAGTGGCCTATTTTAAAAACTTGCAGATGCCATGCAACAGATGGAACATCTAAATGTGAGCTTTTTTGGTGGTAAAAATAAAAGCTCTTTAACATGGTCCACTTTAATATCCTTAAAAACTGGAAACCCAAAATGTGCAAGTCTCTGAGTCCATCAAAGACTAAAGTTCCTGACAGTCCTTTCAAAAGCATCCTAATATCAATTCCTATGACTCAACTCGAGGTATCAGTCAGTACTGAGTAATCTGCCAACGCTGTCTTTATAACATACTACGCTGAACTCAGTGGGACCATTTTTATGGTGGGTAACATGAGCCAGGGATTTCTATGGTAGACCTATTAAAACCGATCCATCATTCTGTTGTAACTGAATGAATTTAAATGACAACAATACATTTTACAATACAACATAGACAAATAAACTATTGCCTGAGGATGCAGCTAATGATTATTTTCACAATCACAGCTGCTTATTACCTGTATATTTTCTCAACTTGGTTAATTATTTGGTCTATAATACATCACAAAATTATGAAAAATGCCCATCACAAGATTTTAGAGCCCAAATGTCCTGTGTTGTCCAGCCAGCACTTGGAAACACAAAGGTATTCAGGTCACAATTATATCAACATGATGTAAAGCTTTGACATTTTGTTGGAAAAGTGATGATAATTGATGTTCAAAACAGTTCTTTTGATTGATTCATCAATGACTCGACTAATTATTGCAGCTGTAATAAATTGTATTTAATGTAGACTTGTCACTTTATGGTTAACAATCTGCTTAATACGGCTAATATTGGGCTTAATACTTGTTGTCAAATAAGAAATCACCTGTAGCATAAAAAGCTCTCCCACTGCTGAATGTCAATGTTAACATAACTGATAAATTATTTCTGTTGCCCATCAGGTCTCAAGGGAGGAAATGGACCCAGCGGTGACGGACAAGGCAGCACTTTCACCTACACTTTCCATGGAGACCCTCACGCAACCTTCGCCACTTTCTTTGGGGGTTCAAACCCCTTTGAAATGTTCTTCGGACGTAAAGCCAATGGACGAGATGATGAGGACGTAGAGATGGATGGAAATGACCCATTCGGCTCCTTCACCAGCTTCAACATGAATGGATTCCCTCGGGATGGCCACGTCGGCCTTGGAGGGCAACAGCGCCGGAAGCAGGACCCGGCCATCGTCCATGAACTGAGGGTCTCTTTGGAGGAGGTCTACCATGGCTGCACCAAGAGAATGAAAATCTCTCGTAAACGGTTAAATCCAGATGGCAGGACCATGCGCGCTGAGGATAAGATTCTCACTATTGAGATCAAGCGTGGATGGAAAGAGGGAACCAAGATCACATTCCCACGAGAGGGAGATGAGTCCCCCACC